TTATTCCTAAGGATTAAAGATAATCTTGAATCTTTTTCATTAAAGAAACGCATTGTGAAATTTTTTGTAAAACCCTTAATACTCTAACTTTATATTAAAACATATATTTAAGCTTTTAGATAAGCAGGATTTTTTGAAGCCCAAGACAATTGTCATACAAAAATCAGTTTACTTATATAGTTCACTTCCAAGAATTTGGCAACACAATTCTACCTTCAAGGTCACGTAAAAAGGTAAAGCCGGTCGCGAGTCAGAAACAGAAAGAAACAATGGATCTTATGTAGATTACGCTTTATGCTAAATTATGTAGTGTCGAGAGCCAACTTTTCTTGTCGTAGTAAAGAACGGTCTCCAAGCGGATCTGTCAGAACAGAGAATACGAAAGAGAAGACAATAGCCAAAGGCTGTAGTCTCCAGCCTTTTGAAATCATGCCAAAAATCTAAGGAAAGAGAACAAATGTATATACTCGTCTGCATTGAAATAAGCCGGTGAAAGCATAGAAAAAGCTAATCAAAAGAAGATAATGATAGGATGAGAAAACCAAGTAAAATTCAATCCATTTATGTCAGGTGAAAATAACAAAATAGAATTCCCAAAATGTCAAACAGGAAGGATGAAAGACCAGATGGTTATGGGTAAATATCTTAGGGTAAAAAGAGACAGACAGAGGAATGCATTCGATAGGTAGCCGAGGTATACCCACGTATCGACACGAACGATACATGGTTCTAGACCTGACAGCCATTAAATGGACAAATGGCTCTGATGCAGGGATGGATTTTAATCTGCTTCGTTGATAGGAGCAGGAGAGACAGCAAAGCAATTCCTCGTCGAGTGCTATTAGTGCAATAACAGACAGGACGAGCGCCTAGTGTAGATGTACTTTCGGATAAACGTGCAAGCCAAAGGGTGCAAGACCAGCTACCCACACTTGTATGTGCAGCACTGATAATGCTTATGCAAGTAAAAGAAAGAGCCAATCGATGAAGGCTGAATAGCGCCTTGGAGGGAAACGATACACAGAAGATCTGGCAATAAGAGTAAAAACTAAAGTAACCTTCAATAGACAAAAGTTTGTAGCACCTAGATCAATAGAGAGCGATCTTAATGAACGTACCACAACAGATAGGCATGGTAACTGGGTCAAAATAAAGAAAAGACAGTAATGATTTATCAATAAATTAGCATGCATACGCGGATAGACTAAAAGATACACTCTTGAGAGTCGCTGAGACGTAGATTAAGTGGAATTCGAAAGTATCAGCGAGCCTTTCATAAGAACAAGTCATCTTAGGTTGATTTAAGTGATGATCATTTCAGTGGATAAAATAAGCGAAGCGTAATTTATCACCTAAATTTACCTAAGGTTGCTCTCTTTCTCATAAAAAGATCCCAAGAAGTTTGGGCTGAGTTAACATATCTCAAAGTCATCTATTCGCAATCAGGATTGACGATGTACTGGAAGCCCGCCTCAACTAAAATTTAAAGTCAACTTCCCTCACAGTTACGGACATGCAACCAAAGAGCACAGGCTTGGAAGTTTGATGTCAAGTAAACAAACTCAAATCGACTAACATATAAAGAAGAGAAGGAGGTACTCTAACACCAGACATGCAGTGATTCTTATTCACCATATCGGCATAGAATCCGAGTGTGTTAATAACTGCTTCAAGATGAAATTGTTAAGTTATCCACCTGCTGATCAACAAACAAAACGGATCAGATCAAGTGCAAATCTATATAAAGGAATAGTAAACCGATGACCTAAATTAAAAGTATAGTTGCATGTAACTCTTCAAAGGCTTAAATTCAGATAATGTTTTAGGTAAGATTGTCACGATCCAGTGTTTTTAGGCGAGCTTGCCGAATTAAAAATAATAAACTAGGGCATGGATAAGATTTAGTCGATTCCTGAACAAATAATACTTGGCAAAAGTCTGTTGTACAAATCCCGATGCAAGTGCATTAGAAAACCAAAGTTATCCAGGTAATCTAGGGCTTGTGTTAAAAATTGTCCAAAAATAGTCATCAGGACAAAAAGACAAACATTCAAATGAGCCAGTAGGTCAAAATAAGGAGTACAAGGTAACAGTGATGTCTAGAAATTTTCATCTGGATCGATGGATCTCTTTACTTACGGAGAATTGAAATCTCAAGTAACCTCAAATAGAGATGCTGTGGAGACGTTTAAAATACATGAAACTAGATTTCAGAAAGTGTAAACAAAATGATAGATCCAGGAGACAAGGACGATGAAAAAATAACATGTTCAGTATTATTTTCCCAATCAATCATGCCGAACCAAATATAGCTTATTAAAAAGTTGTTTGACCTTTTTTCGCAACTTGGTCATATTGGTAGGAAGACTTATAGGAACGCACCTTATAATAAGTCCATTGTATGCATAATTATTTCCAAAGTCCGACTTTGGAAAACAAGTTGCGAAAACAAGGTCAAACAACTTCTATACAACGAAAGGAGACTGCGACCACACAAAAAGCCACACCATCTTGGTCTTCATATCTTCCATCAAAATATAGCTTATCTATTCAGAATTTTATAGTAGAAAGCGCTGCAAGGAAACTTAGTACATCTTACTCATATATATATATATAATTTAAAGTAATCAGGACAGTAAGAAAATCGAATTTTCAAGATATTGGGTATCTGAATCATGGATGGAGCATGAGGATTTCTGCCATTAGCCATTATCATGAGTAGCATTGTACCTATCCTGTGGTATGGAGCTGAGCGAAGTAATTCGTCAACTGGTGTCATAGAGGGAAAGTTGTGACTTGATTGGAGCAAATACTTCTTTAGCGAAGTCCTCTGATTCACATGAATCCGTGTCGACCTCTCGCCAGTGATAGACATCATGAGATCTAAAAATTAGCCTCTAACGAAATGCGTCAAAAACTACACCAAGAATTGTGGGCGGCTGTCAGCTTAAATCCCTGTCCTGCCCTAAATAGCTTTTTTATTTAATCCTACTTCTCATCGCAGTAAAATAGTTTAAAATTAATCTTAATATATAAAAGTTCTGGACTACATCTCTTTTTAAGGCCTCAATTTCTTAGTCCCAGTAATATGAGCGTCTGGATGGCACATACTTCTAATTGGCCCTGATTCCACAAATCCTTATTTTATCATGTATGATTAGAATTGAGTAATTAATTGGGTAAACAGTTTTGAAAAATACATACGGGTCCCCTATAGTCATAGCAACCGTTCGCTAATGTTGATGTTGGACACAATCGCATAGTTATACCGAGTGTTTTTCATTTAAATTACCATTAAAGTCTTCTCCTCTACAAACTCATTCTAATGTTAGTTTCCATTCTTTCGCATGGTTAAGTATTTATGTGCCCAAATCCCATTACTAATTTGAGATTATAGAGTCCTAACCAGACTTCAGGCTAGCAAAGCTTGCTCTTTTATTCAGTGGTTCGTCCGCCTCCCTAATTCTATTTTTGTCGCTTAAGGTTTTTTGAATTTCGTTCTAAACATGTATATCACGGCAGTAAAGATGCAAGCTCGGTAAGGATTCATCAGGGTTGCATGATAATACTTTCAAATTATCAATCACAACTCCAAAAAGAGCTTACTTCAGTTTTTGGTAAGGCAAATTTACTAAACTAATAGTAAAAGAGAATTCAAATAGCGTAAAATTTATTTGGGAATTTCTTTAACCCAAAGAAGGCACTATTAATTAAAGACATGGGTAGAGTCATAAGAAAAAAAAGGGTACACTGTGGGGTTTTATAGACGAAGCAATAGAGAAAATGTTCATGTTAATACTGCAAATTGATTTTTTTATAAATTTGAACATTCCCTATAATCCAGTAGATAAGGTAAGAGGGGCTAATGCCCGACGCGTTAAATGATTTGTGCCTAAGAGGAAAATAGTATATATGCCTAAGATCAATTTCCAAGAACATTGTATCATGCCATTAAATTATATAGAACCATATATCTCCCAAACAAATTAGGGCCTAGATTTTATACAAAGCCAGGAGGTACAGAAACAGAGGTGAGAAGACAAAGCATATTTGTATAAGGTTTATTCACCCTATTTCCTTTAGTGTGATGAAGGACTATTAGTTGAATTTTCCCGGAATGATATGGGCAGAGCTGATTTTTTCACGTTTCCCTACTTATGAACGAAAAAATACAAAATACAGTTGTAAGGGAATTCATTTATTTGTATGGCATTCAAAACAAGATAAGGTCCTCATTCATAATTTCTCTCAATATATGCACTAGATAGTATCTAATCCAAAAAGTAATGCCTTCGCTATAAGGTTATTTATAACAGAATGTTGAGATGTAAATCTCTGGAATCGCAAATTCCGGGTAGGAATTTAAGCAACTTCGAAAAGAAACACAATAGTGAGATTAAGTCTTCTTCAATCCATCAATTAGCATTAGCATACGCACTAATTAACTCGTTTTTATTCGTTGATTTTCCAGTAAATGGAAATACAGAAGCTTTCACTATTGCCAAATAATAATTTTTAAAACATAGAAGAAGGGAAGTTTGGTCAAAATGGACGCTTCTCAATAAGAGTTAGTTGGCCAGCAAAACTACTAAAATGTTAGTATAACTATGCTGAATATCGCTCGTACGATTGACTTTATAAAATGAAATCCAAGAAATTTCCTTTCAAGTTGCTATTGCTTTCTCAAAGGTTCCCAATCAACAACAAGCATAGACTCACAAAGCCCGTTTCCATAGTTTATTCAAACGGCTCAAAGAACTTGCAATATAGTTAATATTAGATGCACTCATTGCTTGCATTAAAATATTGTGAAAAATCTGACAAATGGACTCTAGAGTATCGATAAATCATAATCTTAGAATATTTACAGCAATTAAAGAGTGAATAGAACACTGGCACGCCAGAAAGCATGGAGCCGAAGGAAGCTAAAGATATAGATACTCTGGCCCCAAGCTTCATGGTGTAGACTTGTACATTGTATGGTCGAAGAAACAAGATCCTTACCAAAATTCTCCATCATCCTCAAAGACTAGGCCCAATTCTTGGCGTTGTACATCCGAAATAAGTGACCATTCATTGGACTTATCAGACCAAGCGCCCTTCCATTCGGCTTCGTTTCCCCAAGGGTTGCGTATTCTGACTAAAGGAATTTTTCCAGTTTTTCCGGGGAGGGCAATATCGATCTAAAACAGAGGATAAAAAGTTCTGCAAAGGAGGGAAAACAAGAAATACTAAAATAAAGTTGCGTATGGATAATAAGCTATAAAATTTAATTCATATTTAGCTGTAAAAAAGGATAAATATCTCCCTTATATTTATATTCATATATGCATGTATTCAAGCCATTCAGATAAGCATATCAACAAAATAGAATGCTGACCTAAGTACAATTTAGGTATACTGTGATTGTAAGAGTAAACAAATTCTTGGAAAGTAGAAAATATTTGGTGTGATGAACGCCCTACAACAAAATGCCTTAAATAAAGGAAGAAGAATGGAATACCTCTCATCCAAACAAGTAGAAAGAAGAAGTATTTAAAAAGCCGAGATAATCTTAATCGCAAGGCATACGTGCCTTGTTCTATAGAATAAATAACCTACCAGCTTCACACTCGTAACTGAGTAAGCATGTCCCATGATGAGTCCATTTGGTAAACGAGCCTCAAAGACATTTGGATCGGCTTGAATCGAGCAACCCATCAAAGAACTATGTTCCTGTGATTTAAGCATAATATCCATCAAGTTGGGTGGAGATTTATCTCTGAGTTCAAAATTTTCTGCGATACCTCCGGTAAAGTCTTCGAGGGCCTCAGATGTTGTTCCGCCTTTCAACGCTTCATATGAGCCACATAATCTAAAGTATTAGTAAAATCAATTATCAATAAGCAGTGAACAGATAAGATAATGCAACATTTAATTGTTATTTATAAGACTATAGGAAAGTGCATAAAAGAATAAATGGAAAGCATAAACATTGTCGACACAGATAATTGAATTACATGAACTTAGGTAATATAAATAATTTGAAAACAAGCATGAAATTTGAAAGGACGGAAATCCTGGAATATAAAGCTAAATATGTAATAAAATAGCCGATAAAGTGAAATGAAACCAAGCGAACAATTATAAGGGAATTATAAAATATATATATATCTAAGCTTACTTTGCATACGCTTTTTCCATAAGCGCCGACCAAAATTCCTTTTTTTCTGTTGAGTGCATATAAAGCAGTTTGCCTCTGTAGCAAGGAAGCCTGTCGTCCACAACAATTTCTTTCCATTCGCCAAAGTACCAGAAATTAAATCTGAACAACCCACAATATTGCTTAGAAAAGGTTTGTTCAGGAACGACTTGATCAAAGAGTTCTTTATGCATACAGAGACACGCAATAGCAGCTAGTAGCCAGCAATCACCTAACTCTCCTTGTCTCACATCAAAACGGCTAACACCCTCTGAGAAAAACATAGGGTCATCCACAATATCTCCGGGCCGCATCCATTCGATTTTACGTGGAGGCAATTGGCTGAAAAATAGGCTGCTATCAGCTGCAGGAAATTCTGGATCCTCAAATAATTTATTTTCGGAAAGAAGGGTGGCTCTGAGATGCTCGAAAGAAAGGGAAAGATTAGCAATATCACCGCCTCTGGTAGCAGGAACAGGCTTATCAGCACTTCTACCAAAATCAGAAGGAACAACAACTTTGTTCTGATCCCGGTTGCGCAAGCGCTCACGGGGGTCACGAAATCTTCCAAATTGAACACCAGTGTCAGAAGATATAGTGATTCCAACATTCCCAATAATCGGTGCGTTTATACCCTGTATAGATAGAAATATTTTAATATAGTGCAAATATTTTACGAAAAATGAAGATTCAAATTCAAAATACCATGAACGTTCTTTTCTTGCCATCTTCTTCATAGGAAGTAGTTTGGATTTGACTCATAATTTTTTGGGCCATTTGGGTTTTATCCGCAGAAACTGCATTTGAAATAAATCCTTTAGCTGAATTTATTTTATCGCCACTTGTAATGCCTGAGAAAAAACCCTTGACTTCCGATTTTTTGAAGAAAGCCATTTAGGATGGGAGACGGAAACCACGAATTGAGCGGGAAGAATAAGACCTTCAATCAGGAATGATCTAAAAATAGTTAGATAAAACAAATAAATACAAAAATTGACAATATTTAATTAGCAGTACTGTGAACAAAATTTTATATAGCCTTATTTAAATTTGCTGCTTAAAAGCAAAAATGTTTCCATTAAGTTTAAATATTTATTTAAGAAATGAAGACAAAGATGTTGTGGCATCTGGTATGGTCGCAGTCTGCTTTCGATTTATAAAATTTGACTTAACTCGTTGTCGCAACTTGGTCTTGCTTTCAGGGAGACTTAGTAGAACGCACCTAGTCCGAAGTCTTCTGT